ATAACCAAAACGCGAGGCATTTTCTCTTAAAAGTATAGTAAGGAAGTGAATTATGAGAACAGTCCGTCTAAGAAATGACGACATTCTTTTTTTTTCAACCAGAAGATCAAAAAAATAGACATTCAAGTGTCATTACCAACCTTAGGAAAATAGAAGACACTGGGGAACCCCCTGGTTCAAGCGTCAATGCATGGAAGAAACTCCTGGAAAACACGAGCATGGAAAAAGTATGGATGAAAACACATTCTCAGAGGAAAGCTGGAAGAAGGTGCAGAAATTGTTGTATCACTGTGATAAAAGATCCTAAAAATAATTTAAAATGAACGTAGCAAATGCTACTTAAGAAGGAAAATGATATGAAAAGTTATAGTGACAACACCGAGAAAAAAGAAGAGAAACTCATAGAGAATGACATAGAGGTATACAAAGAGCTTAAAAGAGGTCTCCAGTCTGTCTTTACAGATAAGCAAAGATCAACACCAGATATAGAAATGAAGATAAACCAAATAAAGCTATCACATATTGAAATGACTAATGACGGAGTGAGACGATTCCTGCTGGAACTTCGTCACATCAAAGCCGTCTCGACCTGATGAAATATCACCTCGCTTGTTAAGAGGGAAACTGAACTACTCTGCACATCACTCACACGGATCATAGCGAAGTATTAATGATCAGACGACTGATATTAGCATTCAAGAAAGATGATAAGAAGAAGGCTCAGACTCACAGACCAGTGACAGCAGTGGGTGTAGTGTGAAAGAAACAATCACAAGGAAAAGATTCGTTAAACATACTGTAAGTACTGAAATCTTCCCGGGACGCCAGCATGGATCCAGAAATGAATAATCGTGCCTACCAACCCCATTGAAACATACGGTGATCTGAGATCAGATAGAAATAGAGAAGGACGAGTGGACTGCATATTCCTACATTGTTAAAAAAAAACTTTTAATGTGGCGTCACATTGAAAGCAACTTGGGGAAGAATAAGAAAGAACAAGCCAAGGGGTTAAAAAAAAAGAAAGGGTATTAACATACACTAGGGAATACCTAAATAATGCAAAACAAAGAAACAGTATAATGGATGAAGAATCAGGAGAGGTAACCAGGGAACATCCACGAGGATCATCAGAGTTGTGTAGCTAGTCATCTTGTTGGTGGAAAATGCCAAAATGAGAATAAAAATTATATGAAGGAAAAAATAGTTAAATAAATGTTTAAATAAAAGTAGAGTTTGAATTCGAGTGAAAATGTAGATAGGAAGCAGGGAGGAGGAGGAGGGAGGAGAGGAGAGAAGAAGAAGACGAAGAAGACGAAGAAGAAGAAGAAGAAAAGAAGAAGAGAAGAAGAAGAAGAAGAAGAAAGAAGAAGAAGAATAAAGAAGAAGAAGAAGAAGAAGTAGAAGAAGAAGAAGAAGAAGAAGAAGAAGAAGAAGAAGAAGAAAGAAGAAGAAAGAAGAAGAAGAAGAAGAAGAAGAAGAGAAGAAGAAAAGAAGAAAAGAAGAAGTAGAAGAAGAAAAGAAGAAGAAAAGAAGAAGAAGAAGAAAAGAAAAGAGAGAAGAAGAAGAAAAGAAGAAGAAGAGAGAAGAAGAAGAAGAAGAGGAAGAAGGAAGAAAAGAAGAAGAGAAGAAGAAGAAGAAGAAGAAGATGCAAAGAAGAAGAAGAAGAAAAGAAGAAGAAGAAGAGAATAAGAGAAGTAGAAGAAGAAGAAGAAGAAGAAGAAGAAGACAAGAGAAGAAGAAGAAGAAAGAAGAAGAAGAAGAAGAAGCAGAAGAAGACTCCTCCGCCTATTCCGACCGCCTCCCCTAAGACTCCGCCCTCCGACGCCTCCTCCTCCTACTCGCTTCCTCCTCGCCTCCTCCGCCTCCTCCCTCCTCCTCCTCCTCCTTCCTCCTCCCTCCTCCTCCCCTCCCTCCTCCGCCTCCTCCTCCTCCTCCTCCTCCTCCTCTTACCCCCTCCTCCTCCTCCTCGCTCCTCCTCCTGCCTCATCCCTCCTCTGCCTCCTCCTCCTCCTCCTCCCCTCCCATCCTCCTCCTCCTCCTCCTCCATCCTCCTCCTCGCTCCTCCTCCCCCACCTCCTCCCTCCTCCCATCCTCCCACTCTCCCTAAAACCCCCAAAACTTTCCAAAAACCAAAAACCCCCCCCCTACCAAGGCTCCTCCCCCGTGGAACCTTCAAGCACCGGTCCCCTACCCCAACCAATCTGCCCACACCCCCGCCCCCCCCAAGATGAGCGGCACTATGAGAGGCATAACAAGTCCTTCAGAACAAACTAAACCACCAATAGATGAGACCCACACACAGCAGAATCCCCTCCCTTCACTTCTCCCCCCCCCCGCCCCGCCAAACAAAAAAATAATAAATGATCAACAACAAAAAAAACTTGTGGTAGAGTTAAATGTATGAAGCAGGAATGGAGGAACTAGGCGAAATGTCACTGGAAGAGTGAAGAACGTTATGAGATATAATCACGATATACAGACCACGGTACGGGTGGGGTTAGAACCCATGGCAGGTGAGTCGTAAATAAAATGTGGTGCTCAGAATAAACACTGACAAGAACACCGAGAGATGGCTGGGAAATACACAACAATATGAACCACAGGGATAGAAGAAAATATTTCTTAAATGAAAGGCTAAAATATATGAGTGAAATAAAATGAAAAAAATATGGGTGAAATTAAATGAAAAGATGAAGTAGTGAAAGTTGACTTCGTACAGGGGATCAAAACTAGAAATAACGGGGCTTAGTTACAGCAGAAGGTTGAAGTTTAAGAAGCTGGCTCGGCAGGTAGAGCTCACCTCCTCCCCCGCAACCTCAAACAGGTAATTACAAGTAGGTAATGACACTAATCTTGCGGTCGCCTCAGAGTTGACTAGACAAACACCTTGAGAAGAGCGAGTACTTTCAAGGAGACCCCCTAAGAAACATAGTCTTAGTAACTTGTTATCAAGGTGAGTTTTCAACCCATCCACTCAAGTGTGTGTGTGTGTGTGTGTGTGTGTGTGTGTGTGCGTGTGTGTTGTATGCCTATGTACTTCTTCAACTAACATCTAGCACAGCCATGCTAAATGTTAGCTTAATATTAAAACAACTTGAGAGCAGCAACAACAACAGTCTGCTGCATCACGGGGTCAGGCACACTCTCTGCCTAATCAAATCATACCAAATTTATTTATTTACTGTAAGTGCAATGTCTGCTGACGGCTCAATTTTTCGTCAGCTGAGTTACCATAACAGAGGCACACAATGGGACTGGGTCCCATTGTAATGACAACCAGCTTAGACGACATCACATTGTGACCTCAGTCCCTAGACCCATTACGTTCCTCTGTAATCTTTTTGAGTACCGCTCACAGAATGGGTGTAACATGTATACTGATGTTATACAACCAACTGCCTTCGCTGATCACCAGAAACAGTACTCGTGTTAGAGTTAGATGGATGCAAGAAGAAGGCTTTAAGGTCGAGTGTGGTTCCATTACTTCAGAAATTATACTGTAGTGTGATTGTATTACTTAGCCCAGAATGTAGTTCGCAATCGTAAAATCTTTTCCATGGTAATCAAGTCTACTGCGGTCTTTGCAGAATAATCAATTTGCATCAAGAATCTAGGTAAGCTACCTTGCCCACTTATTCTGTGTTATTCTTGTTTTTGTTTTTATTGAGATTTAACCATTTTCTTTTGGTTAAGCTACGACTTAAAATGTGGAGTGAGAAAAGTACACTCCACTGTGACATGGCCCGATTCTTTACGCTTCCGCCTTACCTTTGAGAGAATTTTTTCCCTCCTGTCTGTTGCTAATCTTGCAACTGTACATAGCTCCTGAGGATGCACGAGAGCGTGAAAGATCTTGAGCTAAAAATTTCTACATTCATGTGGCTTGTTCTGTATTGTTAAGAATGCCTGTTTGCGAGTGTTCTGCACACACACACACACACACACACACACACACACACACACACACACACACACACACACAAACACACACACAAGCATCATACCAAGCACATCTGAGGCGCACAACAACCACATTACTGCTGCAGCATATAGGCGCCTGGCAAACCTAAGAATACCTTTTCAATATCTAAGTAAAGAGTCATTCACAACACTGCACATCGTGTACGTCAGGCCCATATTGGAGTATGCAGCACCAGTATGGAACCCATACCTGGTCAAGCACGTCAAGAAATTAGAGAGAGTGCAAAGGCTTGCAACAAGACTAATTTTGGAGCTGAGGTTATAATCTACGAGGGGAGGTTAAGGGTACTCAACCTGACAACACTGGAGGACAGGACGGAGAGTGGGACGTGATAACGATATATAAAATACTGAGAGGAATTGGAAAAGTGGATAGAGACAGAATGTTTCACAGATGGGACACAGCAACAAGGGGTCACAGCTGGAAGTTAAAAACTCACATAATCATAGGGATGTTAGGAATTGTCAGAAAGTGGAACAGTCTGGCGAGTGATGAAATGGAGACAGGATCCATACATAGCTTTAAGAAGAGGTACGATAAAGCTCATGGAGCAGGGAGAGAGTGGACCTAGTAGCAACCAGCGATGAGGCGGGGTCAGGAGCTGTTACTCGACCCCTGTAACCATAAATGAGTATACATACACACACACACAATAATATATATATAATATATATAATATATATAATATATATATATATATAATATAATATATATTTTATTATATATATATATATAATATATATATATTATATATATATATATATATAAAATAAATATAATATATATATGATAGTAAATATATATAATATTATATTATTATAATAAATATTTATAATATTATTATATATTATTATTATTATTATATTATAATTTATTATATATTATTATTATTATTATTATTATATTATTGACAGTAGTAGTAGTAGTTGTAGCAGTAGTAGTAGCAGGAATTATAGTAGTACTACTAATAATCATAATAATGCTATTGCGTGGTAGGATGAGAATGAGAGAAAAATCTGGCTGCAGGGAGTTTATTACAAAAGGATCACAAGCATTGGATTGTGTCCAGTGATCTTAAATGCTGGTTGATGCCCCGAAGCTGTAGTCCTTAACTATTTACATACGAGAAGTGTCCTTGGGGTGTCCTTATGTGTAGGTCGGAGTGTCCGTGTGGCTAGGTTGCCATATGTCGCTGGGCCTAGTGAGACGTCAACTCTGATGAGAGATGGCTCAGATAAGAGATGCTGGGAAGAGAGGAGTGTTGTGGTATAGAGGGCTGAGATGCTCTATTGAGGGTTATATCACGTCTACAGCCACAGGTTGGGGTGAATCTATAATAAGGTGTGTGGGTATGTATGTGTGTGTGTGTTTGAACTCGGGCAAAATTTGGGGTTCATTTACAAGTCCTCGATAAGTTTGAAGGGTGACGTCCCCCTGAGGCGAGTGTCAGCCTGCACACAGATCGTCCATGGAGAGGCTCAGTGGTAGTCGCGTATGGGTTGTGATCTGGTTAGAGTGGCCATCACATCATCTGATGCTTAGTCTATTCTCTCTCCTTGGTCGTCCCATTTGGCTCCCTGAGCCTTCAGCTGATCGACGATTTTCAGAAGCTCGACTACGTGTTCAGGGAGAGGTGGAGGCTGAGGAATGAGGTCGGATTCGGGCTGGTAGCCGTTCTCGTCGGCGGTGAAGGTGAAGGCAGCTTGTCTGCCATCGTCAAGAGGGAAGCTGGAAAATTAAAAAACAATAGCATTATTAATTTCTTGGCTTGCCCAACACACCTCCTTCGGAAATTTCATTGGGAAATTATATTTTTGTCTTCCACTATTTTTTTAATTAACTATTTAATGCGATTCTGGTCAAATTTATTGTTTTACATAAAGTGATAAGGAGAATCATTACTATAACATGTGAAAAGCTGATGAGATCAACGGAACACGAACATAAAAGAATGAAGAAACTAAAGGTAAACATACGGAGGAGAAAGCGCTACCAAACAAGCCACCAGACCTGACCTTACAGATTCGGGTCTCACCTGAAGGCTCTAGCCTGAAACTCACAGGTCATCATGCTACAGACTTGCGTCTTACCTGAAGGCTCTGACCTGAAACACACTGGTCATCATGCTACAGACTTGCGTCTCACCTGAAGGCTCTGACCTGAAACACACTGGTCATCATGCTACAGACTTGCGTCTCACCTGAAGGCTCTGACCTGAAACACACTGGTCATCATACTACAGACTTGCGTCTCACCTGAAGGCTCCTTCCATATTGACAGCTCCTGAAGCTCCTGGGTATCCTTTGACATTCTGGCGGATGCCGTTCTCGGTCTCGAAGTCGTATCTGAAGTTACCGTCTCCAGTGTCTTCGCGAACGTCGCTAACGATGCCTATGATCTTGTAGTCTGGCTTGGTGCCCTGAGGAGCGGCGATGGCGACAGCGGCCAGGCAGGCGAAGACGATCTGAAGAACAAGAGAGCCAAAAAATGTTTACTGTTCCTCTGGCTGATGACCATTCTCACTTTCAAGGAGTCTGATGATATTTGCTTTCTTTATGCTTACACACACAAGAAAAAAAACACACTTAGAAAACTTGTGCCACGTTTGGGTCCCTCATGGACTATTGTTTATAATGATCCATGACCGACCGACCGAAACGTCCTCTGTGTGACTATTCGTTTTATTACTGTGTTATTTTGCCTCGCGTTTTAAATATAATACCTCAGATCTCTTTTGCTTAACTTTACATTTTACTGAATTACTATATGTATGTAGAAATATTTTATTAAAAATTGCAGATACCATGATTAGATTAGATTTAGATTTTGCCACCCAAATGGCTAGTCTAATCTGCCATGATAGAAATTTTGTTTTTATTTATGTGATTTTTCAGCTTCAAGCGAACCGCTTATTGTATTGTGGTTCTGCACATAAAAAAAAAACACGCATGTGCATAGAAGAGTAAGCAAATTAATGTGTATAATGAGCACACACACATACACACACATTCTTTGATTTTTTCGTACACAGTACACGTACAAGCCAACCATTTCATAGCTCGTGGTTGCCTCATCCCTCCCTACCCAGCATTCATTGCTGTAAGTAACCTAACTTGTTTGCCTCATTATAAGCACAGAGTCAAACCTAAGGACCTTCCTTGTGATTCTCTGCTGTGTTAAACTGTTAGCTATGCTATGCTGCTATGCTGTCTTACACAGCTGTGCTGCACATCTATGTCACTCTGCTATATTACTCTGCTGTGTTAGTCTGCTGTGTTACTTACGAGCTTCATGGTGGCTACGGTGAGAGGCTGAGTGAAGATGCGCACTGGGTCTTGCAGCTGCTGCTTATATACACAGGCAGGAGGACCAGCCTCGCCTCGCCTCGTGGTGGTGTCTAGCGTCCCTGGCTCGCCCAA